TAATTCTTTACTTCTATTTTTTGCGTCAACAAATTATATAAGGAACGAAAATTTTGCATCCATGCCATGGACAACTGCTTTTGTCTTTTTGAGCCAAATGCAAATGGCAGGTTTTTTTTGGTAATAATATAATGAAGATATCTGCAAATTTAACTTGAATTTAATTATTTAAGAAAAATTTAAAATATACTTAATTCATTCAAAATTTTATTTTTAAAACATTTTTACTCAAAAACATATATTTCATAAAATTTTTTAAAATATACTCTTTCACCACAGATACATTCTTTACCTAATCACCGTTCTCTGTGGTTTTCGTTTCATTACTGGCAGGCGGTGGCTGTTAACTAATTCTCCAATAGACACAAAAAAGACGAGCTTTTTGCCAAAGTGGGATAGTTTAAATTCTTTATTCTTTTAATTTATTCTCTATATATTAAAAATATTTCCAAAGATTTAGAAAGTTGAAAGCCATCTAATTTATAAATTTTGTGAGTTTTGAAATATGAGGGATGGTTTATGTTTAACTGTCATTATTTTTTGAGTATAATGGGCTTTAAAGTTTGTGGAATCTTACTATTGTTTATTGAATTTATTTTGAATTTTGTTTGAGATGATTAAGGGTTCAGGATTATCAATACTAACATTTAAGTTCATAATCACTTCAAATGATGTTGTATGAAACATTTTTTAGAGAGCGACAAAGTGAAGCTAATTATTGATCCCAAATGCATTTTTCCTTTATTTCAAATTGTCTAAAGATTATTTTATATTGAAATTGAAAGAGTTACATAAACCAATCCCATAAGACAAAAAAATCCATGTAAAATGCCTAATATAATCCATTTATAGTATTTGATTTTTAATTATGAATTTTAACTTTGATTATATTAATATTTGAAATAATGAATTTTTTAATAAATTAAATAATCTCCTCTATATCTTTAAAAAGATATATATCAAGTGTGAATAGAATTTATAATTGATTTTATATAATAGTTATTGTTATTTACAAAACATAAATAATGAAATTTAAAAAGTTTAAATCTTATCATATCTATAAAAGCTATCCCCATATTCTTAAAAAAAGAACAGCTATTTAATGTCTTTTAAAAGAGATTGAGAGTTATATTTGGAAATAAAAACAAGCAAGGCGGAGATGACAAAGCAAGGAAGAAGGCAGTAGACCAAATTACTCAGCCTTCTCATCACTGCAAAACTATTCTTTCTCTCTTCCATTTTAAGCTTTTGTAGAGCCAAAACTCAAATCCTCTTCATTAGCGAGCTTTCGATATGATCAAAGAAGGAAGTAGTCTCCACTTTGATTGTATATTATAAGGAAGAGGCAGATGAAAGTAGGAAATTGTGCTTTTTTAAGAGATCAGATTTTGAAAACTGCATTTCATTTGTAGCATTTTCACAGTTCCTTTCAAGAAAGGAAAAGGAGGATTAATAGTGCCACAAATAGTTACCTAACCAAAAAAATTCTATAGCTAAAGTAAATTTTAGTGTATAGTATAAATAGATTCATAAAATATTTGTTTTTACCATTGGATTGAATTGTTGAACCTTATCATCATCATTAGTCTCCTCATCAATGCTTTCTTCTAGACTAATATTTGGGAAACGCTTCCACGTGCCATTTTCATACTGTCGACAATTGAAACATTGTATCACACCACTTGCATTAAAGGCAGAACCAATGTAGTCTAAGAAAAAGAAAAGTAAATTCACAAAAATTAAAAAAAAAAAAATGAAATTGGTACATCTATAATCATCATCCGCGCCTTCGTCTGCAAGTCCACAAGTAATGAATAGAGATGATAGAATTGAAAAGTAATGGAAGAGATCTCACCCTATTAGAATTAGTTAAATTAACATATGATTCCATCAATAAACAACCTTTTTGTCCGAAATTCAGCATATTCAAGCTTTTAATAACAACCTTTTTCAATAAGGGTGAGTTTGGATTTTAAAGCAATATTAGTAACGGTGTAATTATTCTCAAAAGTTGTGTCAATCACAAATCACTCAGATGGTGTTTCAATACAGTTGAATAAATGTCGGTCATCAACTGGCCACTTTTGGTCCATTGGTGACCGACCAATGTTTTTATTTCTTCTTTTCATTTTTGTCCTCTAAATTATATTATTATATCAAATTTTGATTATTGTAAAATAATTTTATTAATTTAATATAATAAATAAATTTTATTATATAATATATTAATAAATAATTTAAATAAAATTTATTATTTATTAATAAATTTTATAAATATTAAATAATTTAAATTTTTTATTATATATAATTTTTAATCTAATATCTTTAATTATCATTTTGTATTCCCATTACATTTCCCTTCACCTCTGTTTTTACATCCAAACAAATATTTTATCATTAATTTTAATCTCATTACAATAATAACAAATCTCACATCTACCGTTGTTTTCAATTTGACTAGAACTAATCTCACCATTTATTCAAATGAACCTTAAATTTAAGAACACTTCAAAGTTTCATTCCATTCACCTTAATTTCATGACAAATAAAACCTCAAATTCATACAAAATCTTCTTCAAAGCTATGAACTTTATCATAGCATAATCTCAGAACTTACAAATTCGTAGTTAGATCTAGCAATCTAAAATACGAAATTATGATATAATACAAATAAAATATAAAAAGTAAGTACAAAAATTAAAATTTTAACAATAATTATATATAAATTTAACAAAATAAAAAAAATATTTCATATTTTCTTGTGAATACAAATTATGACATAATTTTTGTATAAAATACAACACAAATACAAAAATTTTAATATTTTATATGACATAAATACACAAATCGTCAAGTTTATTAATAGCAAAGCATTAAAAAAACTAAAAAGGAAATTAAACAAAAAAAACCCTAAATTTATATTCATATTTATGACAAATAATCAAATATTTCTTCAAAAAAATTTATCAATCAATTAAATAACTTAAAAGAAAAAACAAAAACAACAAAAATGTTACCAAGATGAAAAACAGTGAAACAACAAAGTCAAATGACAGTTCGATCGAAAGCATTGTCTAAGCAAATTCAACAGTTATCCCCTGTTGCTTCCATCGCTACCAAAAACTCTCTCAATAAAAAAAACTAATTAAAATGAAAAATTTTAGGGTAAAAGTAAGATTTTTAAAACCAGCTTTAAGGATTCTCATACTCTCATATGATTTGGAAAGCTAGGTTAGCACAATATTTCCGTTAAAAAAAAGGGTTTTCGATTTTTTGATTTAGATCTCCATTTTTGGAAAATGAAAATTTTGACTGAAAATCACCTTTATAATTCTTTTTGCTAGAAGAAGCAACGAACTGTTGTGTTATGTTCTATTCGTGTCCGAATAAAAAAGAATGTAATAAAATAACGTGACAAAATTTACAACAATTAGAAAAATTAAAAATTAAATTATTTTTATTTTATGATCAATGCAAAATTTTCGAAATATTGTAGATTAATATTAATTTTTGTTATTATATTTTAATTTTATTAAATTTATCATTATAATTTTAAATTTATTAATTTTTTAATAAAAATAATAATATTAACAAAATTTTACTATATTAAAAAAACTTATATTAATAGAATATTTTGTAAAATATTTTAATTTTATTAATTTTATAAATTTTAATATAAATTTTTTATTTAATAAAAAACCTGAAATCATTTCATTAAATAAAATTTGTAAAATTTTTAATAAAAATAATTAATGAAAATGAAAATTGAATCAAACCCTATTGTTATAAAGAGAAATTCCATACTCTCTCACAAGATAAATTAAAATTTAATAAATTAAAGTACAAACATATTTTTAAATTAAATTTTAATAAATTATTTTATTAAAAAATTAAATTCAACTAGGCTTAAAAATCCTAAGCCCAAATGATATGTAAACTAGGTTGGGCTTATGGGCTTGAATGGAACTTTCGGCTGAACGGTTACAACAGCAAAATCCCATCCCTATCCCGATTCAAGCACACACTTATGTGCCCCTGCTCCCAAACGACTTAAAAACAGAGAGTCGTCGTCTTAGCTTAGCCCCAATCAAAATCCCTAGCCTATAAATATCAATCCTTTTTAAACTTATTTCTCTAGGCAAATAGTTTAAGTCAGATCATTTCCATTTCATTTTTATATAAATAAAATATTTTAAAAAAACTTTTGTGCCAAAAAAAAATTCTCAATTAAAAAAAAAAAAAAAACCCTCTTCCGTTATAAACAAGATTCTAACCCTTCAACGTTTGTCTAGATTGTTTCTCCATCTTCTTAAACTCGAAAAGATTCAAGGAGGAAAAAAAAAAGAAAAAGAAAATACCCTTATTGTCTTCAGCCCCAGGTTGGAATACAAGATGCAGATTAAACTGGGACAATAACAAAATATCAAGTACACAACCATACACTACCACAATTGAGTGAAATCTGTTGCCCAAGTTTTAGAGACAACATTAACGAGGAAATATTCAAAATACTTTGAAAACGTAAAATTATTCAGTACAATTCCAAAGATCCTCATCTCGCAAAATGCAGCTATAGCCTTTCGAAACATGAAGTTCTGTGCAAGCCTAAAATGATGATATGGATTAAAATGACATCTACTACCTCGTTTAAGGGGTAAAAAAAAATTAAAATTACCCATATTTGAGAATAAAAATTTTAATATACTCTAAAGCGGGAAAAACTCCAAGAAAGAGCATAGAGCCGATCAATGTCGGAACAAAGACAAAATATGCTAGTTTAGTACATTCATTCATATTCCGGGTGGTTGTATGTCATTTTAACAAGGCTAATTATTTTTTAAGGCTTAATCACTAGAAAGCTCTCATTTCTCTATGAGTTTTTTTTTTTTTAACAGTAACATGATCAATTGCAGGCAGTGATTCAACAGCTTGCATTTTGGAGTTACTTACCAAAACAGTAGTAGCATTTGAAAATTATCACCTAAGAACAATTAAAAGAGAACTGCTTGAATTTTGGAGTTACTTGCTTATAACTTATAAGCAAATATGTAAATATGTAAATCTGTAAAAAAGGGGAAAAGCCTCAATCATACCAAAAAGATGGTTAACAACACCCTGTCTGTGGATGTATTGCACCGATAAAAGGAAGCAGCTTCAGCAATTCTTTCTCTTTTATACAAATCATACGGACTTTAAAAAGATCATCTAACCACAAAAGAAATATCCTATTTCAGCAAATAAGAAAATAAATTCCAAAATTTTCTTTTCTAAGTTCCAAGCTTGAATCAACCTATGTCTCTTTTTTGTCCTTTTTGGAAGAAAATGAGACAGCAAACATGCATATGAGAAAAATAGAAGCAAAAAGTTAAAAAGAAGGAAAAAGGTTACCTTGTACAAGACAAGTGCATATATAATATACAGGTTGACAAAAGGTTAGCCAAACCTCCCTCTCCCCCTCCCCCTTCCTCTCCCTCCACATTCCTCTTGTCGATTTCTAGCATCGACTATTTCATATTTGAACATACTTCTTTTAAGGTTCTCTGCCTCTGTGCCATGCATTCTCTGTACCTGAACAAGAAAATAATTTAATTAAAAATTACAAGATGACAAATACAACACCACCAGCAATAGCAACAACTCAAAGTTGCAAGAACACTGACATGATAATCTTCCAAGTCCAGTTGAGCCTGAAGCTGCCAAGCAAGGTCTTCATCACAACTAGTTTCAGGAAGCTCATTTCTCATCCAAGGTTTTGGGCCAGCTTTCCTCTTTTCCCACTCATCCAAAGTGAAAACCACAGGCTCTTCTTGTTTTTCCTTTCCCATATATTTTCGACCTTTAGAATGTCAGCCATCCAGATTGGAATGGCTCATTTTCTTTAAGAGCTTCTGAGAAGCTGCTTGATTTTGAAGGGGTACGGACTCAGCTAATAGCAAAGGAAAATATATAGATTAGCATAACAATAAATGATCTAATTGAAGGTCATAGTAAACAAACTACACCTGTTTATCATAAGCAATGAAGGTAAGTTTAATCACCTAATTTGCTCCTATAAGTTCATTTAAGATTTCAAAAAGTGATGTATTTCATTAAGTCGACTGATGCATGACATAGGAAATTTCCTAGTGCTATGAAATTGAATTTACAGGTAGTAGCAGGATGCGCCATAATAGCATTGTAAAATATAAATAAAATTGAAGTATAGATGAGTTGCACCTTCTTTTGGTCTTGTTTCGGAGCTACTTGGATTTTCTTCAGTTTTTTCTGATATGAAAGCTGTCTTCAGACCATTATCCGCATTATCTGGTTTCGCTTCAACATTCTGGTTCCTTCTGCTCCACCTACTTTCAATATTCCCAGTGGAATTTGAAGCAGTAGGTCCAGCACTTCTCAATGTTGAGTCAGAGTAATCTGCACATCATCACCTTTAGATCACAGGTAGGAATACATGCATCAAGCAACCATAATCACAATTTGAAGCCATCTAAAGCATTCGTTATAAATAAATTTGCTCATAAAGGAAAAAGAAAAGAAAGCAATAGCTTTTTAGGGATCTTTTGAACAAAGATGGCTTCTTAAGTTAAAGCTTCTCAACGCTCATTGTTCATTCTCTTGTTCTGTAAAATTCCCTTCCCCTCCACAACAACTTTCTCAAGCTTAGCCTTAAAAGTTGCATAAAATTACAAATTACACTTTCTTTGGTGACTATCAAATATTACAAAATTAAAAAAAAAAAAGAAAAAAAAAATTAGCAATTCAAAATTTTTAACTTTCAAGAAGAGCAATTTAAATACTCGAGGAGTAAAAGAGCAAGATAATCTACTGAACCTATAAAACAAGAGTGATATAGAGTAGCAATATAGAGTATTCTCCAAGTTGTAAAAAAGCCTCATAACTAGCTAAAAACAAGTTCCAAAGAACAATTAATGCAGGTGGTGAAGTCAGACCAGGGTGTAGCCTGTAGCCAAAGTAAATCGGATGCCACTAATGAACTGTCAACAACAGATAGCTGGTTGTTATTCATTATGGAAAATGAGATGCTGGGAAAATATTTTTTATATGTATGTGTTTCTGATCATTCAAGAGTACAATTTAGGACTCATGTAATTATGAACTTGCTTAGAGATTCCCAACTATCTGAAGTATTTTTTTTAACTGAACACCAAGTAACTAAATTCAATGTTTCCTTTCCTTAGAACCTATCAATGATTGTTCCCAGAAAAACAAGAGAAATATGAAGCACGTTTATCAAGAAATAAAAAATCTCTTAATGCCAGTCTCAGCCAACAAAATGAAAGAGTCCATAGCACATTTTATGTGTCCACTACGAAAAAGTAGTCAAAGGCAAAAGGGTTTCATATCTCATTAGATTAGCATGCATATTGCATAAATTTGCTATTATAACTTTGAGTTATTATGTTCATTGGACAACAGATTTTATACTGACAAGAGTTAACAGCTTGATTATTGTAGCCAAATACAAAGAGTTCATTCCAGCTATGGGTTCTCCGTCTATCCTTTTGTTTCTCTTAGGTTAGATGTTAAGCCTATGTATTTACCAAATCTCTTAAAGAATGCTCGAAACATACTCTTAATGCAAAATTTAGAGGTGGTATGCAAAGAACAAAGAATAAAGGCAATGCAGGAGGGAAACAAAGATTGAATACAGCACATTTAAAAGCTCTAGAACACTCACGAGATGATCTGCCTGGTTGAAAAAACCTACTGCTTGAAGGTGCCTCAAGTTGCAACAACTCAAATGGGGGAGGACCACCAGTACCACTTTCCTGGGATGACCTTAACGATGAACGGGAGAAACCTGAATATTTTTGGTTCATCTCCCATTCTTCATAAAGTGATTGAACAACACCTCCTAACAAAGTTACTACTTTAGGGTTCAAACATAATATACCATCATGTATGATGGCTTTATTTTCCAAAAGAATCTGCCAACCAGAATTTAATACACGGTAAGAAATACCACAAAAAAATATAGGTTAAGTACATAATATCTTATGAAAAATTGCCAGAGAGAATAAACAAATTACAGGCGACTATTATCCCATACACTGGTGATGGAATTGACATAGTACTTCACAAACAAACTTATATAATTGTCACATGTCCAATTATCTATAATAATGGAAGTCAACATTGAATTACTAAACGTGGTAACATATAAACCCCCCCCTTTTTTTTTCTATTTCAAAGTCTGCAATGAGTATAGCGAAAACAAGCAAAGTTCAGTGGAACTGAACAGTAAGAATACCTTAGAACCAGGAAACACATTGTCTGGAATTGCTGGAACATGAGAGTACTCTATGGAAGTTATCTCACTATGTCCATCAGTCAGACCCAATCTCAGCAAACTTAAGCTACTCGAATTCCGCGAAAATTCCTCTATGCTGCTTCTAGATGTATCCCTAACCGACGAAATCTAATGACAACATTTCAAAAATCAATTCAAAAAATGCCAAAACACAATCCAAAAGAAAGAGGAGTTTACCTGAAGGATTTTGGGACCACGAATATGAGAAGATTTTTTGACGGTTGGTTCGGGTAAGGATTTGCCTCCAATGGCTCTAAGGTCCATGTTAACGAGCTCCGATCGGCGATCGAACACGTATCGACATCGTTTGATAAAGCGATGTGTATTACTATGAGAGCTTTGACTGGGTTGGAATCGCCGAAACACCAGCCTCTTGTTCTCAGGGTTTCTACAACGGCTTCGGCAGAAGCAGAAGTCGCGCTCTCCTACATTTATGTTTCTTTAGCTCAAAAATAGACCGCAGTTTGGGTTTTGTTTGTCTAGCCATCTGGTCTAGTCTTTCTTTGTAAAGAGTTTTTAGGGAGAGAGTTTGCGTTTTTTAACGAAAGACTGTAATAAGATAATAAAGAAAAAAAAATTATAGGTTTTAAAATTGGATTTTAAATTTATTAAATATTATTTTTAAAAATAATTGTATAAATTAATTGAATTAAATTTTATTTTAAAATTTGTGTTTATATAAGTACTTTGTTTTATTAAAAAATAGGATTATTTAATTTATTTTTGAAATGAAGTCGGTCAATTTTTCAGGTTATTTTCATCTTAATCTCGAGTTTCTTAATTATAATCATTTTTTTATTTAAGGTTTAATTAATTATTCACACTTTTTTTACGATGAAATCAATATTCAAAAAGAGAAATAAGAAAAATGAATTAGTTCTTTTTCTATTATGAAATCAATTTTTGGATTCGGGACAGTTCAATGATTTTTCAACGCAATTTAATGTTCTAAAGATAAAAAAAAAAAAAATTGTTCGTAAAACCATCAAATATGTTTTCAAGCTTTGTATGTTCTTAACTTTTGGGGGATAATTTTAAAAATATATTTTTTTGCATGAATTTAATACATTTAAAATTTTATTTTTCAATTTTTTCTTTAAAAATAGAATCTTAATTGACAAATAAAAAAAATTCATCTCCTATAATTAGTTTTAATAATTTTAAATATGATATGATAATACAATATAAAATTTATATGAATAAAATATAAAAAAATAATATAATTTAAAATTTTAATAAAAATTATAAATAAATTTAATAAAATAATAAATATATATTTTATATTTTTATGTCAATACAAATCATAACATAATTTTTATATAAAATATAATATAAATATATAAATTATTATTATTTTATATAATACAAACACAAAATATATATATATATATATATGTATATACTCGTAACATCTTGCATTAACAGAAAAGCCTTGCAAACACAAACCCAAATAGCTGAATCAAAGCTCAAACAACTAAGTTTCGCCGGCTAATGTTAATACCCGTACATAACAATTTCCATTTAGGCTCAGCCATTCGCACGAATATCTACTCTGTGCAGTCCTTGGCCTATTCGTTCTTGGAAAAAATCGAAGTGAACAATACATATGTCAGCATCTTCTCTCCATCCTGCAATTGATCCTTTGCTTACACCGCCAGCAGATTCCATTATTTCATAAAAGATTTCCAGCATCATTCCAAGCTATACACTGCATTTATATATATCTGTCCTCACTGTCAATTTGTCATTCTATTCCATCTCATTAAAATGAAACTTTATATCAATATTTATGTCTTCGATTTTGTTCTACTCTTGCCATTCTTCAGGATCTCCGAAGCCAATTCTGTAGCGTTCATTTCAAACCTCCTATCAGGTGACGACCAGGCAGCTTAAATTATCAGTACTATGTAGTTTTTTCTCTGAGGTATCTCAAATGCAACAACCTTTGATTAATATGTCCTGTTTGTTGATAATCGATTTTGTGCAGTTTAACGCTTGCGCCACTGTAAACTGTGGCCAAGGGACTTGCCAGGAAACAAATAGGTCATTGCTTGGCTTTGAATGCGACTGTTATTATGGCTGGACGAAGTTCCGGATTCTTGGTATCGTCCTTCCCCCCTGCATCATCCCCAACTGTGAGTTTCTCATCCTTTACTCGGTTATTTTCCTATTCACCATTGATTTTACATCTTGGGTTACATTTATTTATTTAGTTTATGAAGTTTCTAAAAATATGTAGGCACACTCAACTTTGGCTGCGGCACAGGGAGTCCTTCACCGCCACCGCCACTGACCTTTAATTTGTCCGACCGTATGTCCTAGGAACACTTCTGCTAATTCAACTTATTATACTATTAACTAAGCTTTTTCATGATTATTTTATGTAGCTTGTACCATTACTTGGTGCGGTGATGGGAGTTGTAAAACGAATGGAACTGGCTACGAATGCGATTGCAATGCAGGCTCTGATAATTTGCTCGATATGCCAGCCTTACCCTGCTTCAAAGAATGTAATGTGGTCTTTGTCAAATTATGAAATCAGAAATTCTCTTTTATGTGAAAGGATTCAAAATTCTTTTAAAAAATATTCACTTATAATATATATATATATATATATATATATGTATATTATCAATAAATTTATTAATTTATGATGAAATGAGTGTTCAAAATTTTTTTGGAATATTAAAGAATTCTTTTAAATTTTTAATTTTTTGAAATGTATGGAAACCTTTATTTCAAATGGTGAATCCGCATATGAACAAAACAGGTGAAGTTTTGTTTATGATTAATAGCGTGGTTGCAATAGTTTTTGATTCATTGCTTGATGCTGTAGTGCTTTGCTTCGCTCCAGGTTATCTGGGAGCGGATTGCCATGGTCTTGGGCTTGGAAGGCCACCTCCACCACCACCTTATCACTCATCATCTTCCCACGGTAATTTATTTTTCAATTTATTTTTTATTTTTTGACAATAACAATTATTACACATCAATATTAAAAAAAAATCACAATATTAAATACATAAAAATAAAAAAAATTAAGAAACGTTAAAATTAAAAAAAATTAAAATGGGATAAAAGATGTATAATGTGTTACTATTTTTTATTTTTTATAATTTCCTCCCTTTATTGTAGGACTGAGGGAACTCAGGAGGGCTTCCAGGATCGGAGATAGTTTGAAAGTACTGTTTACTTGGGGAACTTTATTTCTTCCATGGCTATGAGGAGATCAAACTGTGAACACGTGACTGATTTTGATTAATGGACATAATTGTGATGTGATATGCGGGTGGTATTTTGTGGCCAACTTAAACAAGTTTTTTAAATAAAATTTATGACGTTTTTAATTAAAAATCAATAAAATTTAAAATAAAATTGATAGATTAAAACTTATTTTACATGATTTAATTATGTAAAATTTTTAAAAAATAATTAATTTTGATTTATTCTAGATAATCATTTTTAATAAAATTTTTATATTTAAAAAATAACAAACAAATTTAAATTATAAATTATATTTTAAATATTTTTTACATATCATTAAATTTTTTATTAAATTTCATAAATTTATAAATTTAAATTTTTATTATAATTTTAATTAAATTATTTAATTAAAAATTTTCACAAACATCACTTAAAAGTTTTTTTGGTCTAAATTTTCACTTTTCTCCATTATTAGGTCGGAAATTGGTTGAATTCCAAACCTAGTGATCCAAGATCGAAATTGCTAGAACTATAGATCAAACTACAGCCTATTTATGTAGTTTTTCTGTTTACATTTGAAAAGTTATAATTTTGACCAAAACAACGTATGGGATAAATCGTTTCATCCAAATGGATCATCAAACAATAATTGAAGTACATAGGCATTAAAGGCTCTTTCTAAAAAGAAGGGCACATAATTAGGTTGCAAGTAGAATAGGTCCACTAAAAGAACTTCGGTGATGGGCATATGCCAATGTGTTGAAGGGTTACAGGTTTCCCTATCTCATAGGCGGAGTTCAATAATATGACCCAAAATTAGATCAATCGAGCCGGTTTTGATTAAATGTTGTAATCTTTCTTTTAACTAAATAAGTAATTAAAAAGGTGATAGGATTTAAAACGATCAAAACTTAATAAAATTTTGATTTAGTGATAAAAACATTTAAAAATTTAAAAATTTTAAGTTTAAATTATATAGATTTAATTATATTTTAATTAATTAATTAATAATTATATAATATTTAATTATAATTATAACTCAAAAAAAATACAGCTACGTAAAACTATAGGTTAAAAATTTGCTTCCCATCGTCCCTCTACAATCTCCAAGCTTAAAACATCCTTTACCCACCACTAAAACATCAAACTTTAACGCTAAAAAAGAAAAATAAATATTAAAGAAAAAAATCTGTAAGTTCAATAAATAAGAGTTTTAAATGTTCTTATCAATTAAGTAGAGGTTTCTCTCTCTTTTTTATTTTTATTTTCATTCTCTTTTATTTTTTCAAACAATTTCATCTACTGTCAATTTAGTCAATCCAAATTAAATTTGTCGTCGATCTATCTCGATTTAACCACATCGACCGTCGGCTTAGCTTTTCCTCTCCGACCCCGTCCTCCTTTCCCCCGTATCCCTCCATTCCCTTTCTTCCATATTCCTCTCCTTTTAAAATCTTCAAGTGTTATTTATTTATTTTTTTAGTTTTTTATTTTTAGATTTCAAATTTTTTATTTTCAAAAAATGTAACTTTTTAATTTTGTAATGTTGTGACAATAAATAATTTTATGCCATGATAATTACCTATAATATCGCACAACATCCCACGATAATTAAAGATTTTTCATTGGTGAAAAAAAACTACATCAACTTTTGATTAAAGGAATATAAAAAGTGACATAATAAAATGAACAAATATGTATTTAATCCAACTTATAAATATGTATAATATATATTATTTATCATAACATATAGATCCGTAAATCTATAGCTAGATTTGACAAAATGATAGAGTCGTCACCAATCTTTTTTATTTAATGTGATTGATCACTTAAGAAATTTATCATCTTAAAGAGCTCATAAGTTTGACTAAAGGTCCTTAAAATAATAAATTTGGGTCTACAAACTAGAATAAGGTTTCGAAGTTCGATTACATGTGAAAAAAGTTATAGCATCCCTATATGCCCATCCAAATGATGGTATCATATTATTTTAAATTTATCATAAGATCTTGAGTTTAATGGTTTCAAATTTTTATGTTAAATATTAAAAATAATTCATAAGACTCTTCCATCAATCTGAGAGAATTTTTAAAAATATTTTATCACCTCAAGAGTATTCAAGAATCTCATTTGATATCTTGAAGAGACTCAGTCATTGAAAAAATGTTTATTTACTATTTTTGTCGAAAATATATCTAATTATTCCACCATTTTGGTCAAATTAAAATTTTTTTTTAATTTTTAAAAATTTCACCATTTGGGCCTATTTATAATTTTTTTTATTTCTAAATTTTCACCATTTAGGTCAATTTAGAAAAAAATTTTTCAAAATTTCTAAATTTTTTACTGTTTTGACCTATTTAGAAAATTTTTTTTCTTGGAAAGAAACTAATATGACAATTATTTTTATTAAAATTTCATCTAAATTATTCTACTATTTGAGATAAATTTAGAGTAAATTTCTCACCTTGAGATTTTTTAAGAATTTACCATTTGAAATTTCTAATAATCTCATCATTTGGTATTTATCACATATTTTCAACCTAAATTTTTATTTAGAAAAGAATACAATTATTTGTATTAAAATTTCATCTAAATGATTCCTCCATTTGGGCCAAATTTAGAAGAAATTTCTCATCTAAAGATTTCTTAAGAATTTATCATTTGAAATTTCTAAGAATCTCATCATTAGGTAATTTGTATTTAATTCCAAAATTTTTATATTTTTATGTTTTTATTATTTTTATATTTTTATTTTGAAAATAAATATTAATTATTGTTATTAAAACTTTATCTAAATTATTCAACCATTTGGGATAAATTTAGACAAAATTTTTCACCTAGGAATTTTATAGAAATTTACCATTTGAAATTTCTATAAATTTCATATTGGATAATTAATATTTATTCCCATAATTTATTTTTTTATTAAATTAAATTGAACAAAAATAATAATAAAATACATAAACGCATAAAATAAATAAATAAAATAAAATAAATCAAAGAACAGTTCGGCTTGCGACTTGAATTGGCTCGATTTGAGGCAGAGAAAACAGCTTAAAAACACGACTCAGGGGTACGCGGCTCGACTCGACTCCAGGGATCGACTGGCATGCAGGTCAGTCGCGGGTCGTGATCGGGTTAGGTTGGTCCTATGGTAAAATACGCGGATCCTTTGAGATTTATTAACGACAAAACGATGTCGTTTTGCAGTGGGTATATAAACCCGAATCTCAGCTTTTTACCAAAATTCCTTTTTTCCTCTCTTTCTCATCGTTTCTTTTCTCTCCCCTCTCTCTACAAAATCTTAGAATCCGATTGAATGTTCTACTGAAAACTAGGAAACAACACTGGAAACTAGGAAATTATGTTGGAAAATATGAATCTTGTCGGAAAATTGATCGAAATATGGATTTTCCAAAAAATTTCCAAAAAAAAATTTACCAAAAAATTTTTAAAAAATT